GGGTTGACACGATAACGACACGTTAAGGTTAACGGGTTCATATTTTTAACATGAACACGAACACGATTTGTTAACGGGTTGACACGATAGACACGTTTTGTTTACAGGTTTCGGATCGTGTCAACACGATATGACACGAAACCTGTTTAAACCCGCTAAACCTATTTAATATATATAAAATTAAAATTTTAAGTAAAGTTATATATATTAAAAAAAAAGAAATAGAACCTACAATTCAATCCATCAAACAAATTAAAAAAATATTCGATTCATAAGTTCATAACTTTCATAAAACAATGAAATAACATCTAAAAATCATAATTAAAGAAGTCTATAATAATAAACACGTTTTGTGGATCTTTTTGTTCTTCTCCAACTTTTTCAACTTCTACACAATCATCTAGGTCTTCAATTTCAACATTCATATTAGTAATATCTCCAATTTCCATTTGCCCTCACCTGTGAAATTTAGTATAATTTTATAAACAATAGCAGCTATCAGGTAAAATTCTAAAACTCCCAATATGTAAATCTATAATATATAATATAAACAGTGCAAATAAAATTCTAAAACTCTCAATCTTAAATATGTAATATATTTATTACAGCAAACACAAACATAATAATATATATCATACACTTCGCATACATATAATATATATATATATATATATATATATATATATATATATATATATATATACATTTATATATACAATACAGTTTGCAAATGCAGATGACAGCTTTATAATATTATACATAAGGAAATTAAGCATAAAAGATCACAAATATTACGAACTTACCGTAAGTGACGAACAAAGTATTAGATTATTTGTTAAGGTTCAACCTTCAAAGGAGTATTTGCTGATCTAATGGAGTAATGGTAGATTTATGAAGTCTTTACCAATTTCACGCATTATTAAGAATTAAAACCTAAAGTCAGAATTGTGAAACAATCTAAATCCCCACGTGAATGATTTTTTTTTTTAGGAAAAAGATAACTAAATAAGAATAGAACATTTGAACTTTCCAAATTTCAAAATTTTAACGGTTTTAATTTTAAATTTCCTTTTATATTAATTATTCAATAAGTAAAATAATATTATAAGCATGGTTCTTAATCAGCGGGTTATAAACAGGTTCGTATAAACGGGTTCGTGTTAACGGGTTAACACGATAATATTAACGGGTTAAACGGGTTCTTAATGGGTTTAACGGGTTAACCTGTTAAGACACGAATCATAACGGGTCTTTAACGGGTCAACCCGTTAACGACCCGGGACACATTAAGCCTAAACACTAACCCGTTATTTTCGTGTCCGGTTTCGTGTCGTGTTAACGGGTCGTGTCGATAATTGCCAGGTCTAGTGACAAGTGATGGGGTTATAATAGGGTGTCCCAACTTGTCCAATTGTGGGACATTTCGTTGGTAAAACCCTATAATAATCCCCTACAAAATAAGGGAATATCACCAAAAGAAGTGTGTATTTAGTGATGTGGTTATCCTACAAAATAAGGGAATAGCACCACAAGAAGTGCTTGATTAGTGATGGGGTTATAATAGGGTATCCAATTGTCAGATATTTCGTTGGAAAAATCCAATAATAATTCTACAAAATAACGGAATACCACCACATGAAGTGTGTGATTAGTGATGGGGTTATAATAGGGTATCCCTACACAAGTTCAAACCTTCATAGACTCAGATTGGGTTTTGATTTGCACACCCCTCCTACGCAAGAGAGAGAGCCTCTATGCTATACAAATCAAGAAGCCTTAGAAGAGCTCTTGTACAAATAGTGGTGCAAATCCACTTCCCAAACCAATGTGGGACAAAAACTACTCCCATGCTTTTTCCCTTCACGTTTCCAACTCAAATTGGTCTACTTTGAAAATCAATATCTCATTCACCGATTATCCGTTTTGAGCGTACAATATATCAATCTCTTCGTCTCACTACGTAGAACCCGAATCCACTTTCAACCGACCCAAATCGAAACTGGACCACACAGATACTTTTACCACAAAATAGCCACTTAATATGCCATTTTAATATATTTTTTCCAGCATTATATGTTCGGCGCGGTTTCCTCCGATATACATATTTCTAGACTTCCACTCTCAAACAAACTTGTAAATTGTTTATCTTACTCAGTAATCATGATCCATAACTCTGCAATATAAGCATTGATAATTTAGTAGGTCAATATGTTATTCGACTATTATCTTTTAAGATATGCATTGCAATTGAAACACTCAATATAAATTGTTTTCATTAATAAAATTATTAATTTTGCGACAGTTTAATGTGTCTATTTGTATTTTAAAAATATTGTATAATTTTAAAACACATGTTTATCAACATATTTAATTAGTATATTATTAATAAAGCCATCTCTCATTCAATTGTGTAACTTGTAAATTAATTTTTAATAGTTGTAGCCTCGATTGTAATACCAATATTAAATATGAACAACCACTTGCCCGTCTAGCTTAGTTGGTAGCGCGTAAAGCTCTTAACCTTGTGCTCCTGGGTTCGAGCCCCAGGATGGGTGAATGCACAATTACTCCACCATTTTAGTGGCATGCCGCACCTACAAAATAAGGGAATAGACCGCGTGAAGTGTGTGACAAGTGATGGAGTTATAATAGGGTATCCCTACTTGTCCAATTGTGGGACATTTCGTTGGTAAAACCCAATAATAATCCCCTACAAAATAAGGGAATAGCACCACAAGAAGTGTGTGATTATCCTACAAAATAAGGGAATAGCACCACAAGAAGTGCTTGATTAGTGATGGGGTTATAATAGGGTATCCATACTTGTCCAATTGTCGGATATTTCATTGGAAAAATCCAATAATAATCCTACAAAATAAGGGAATACCACCACATGAAGTGTGTGATTAGTGAAGGGGTTATAATAAGGTATCCCTACACAAGTTCAAACCTTCATTTACTCAGATTGGGTTTTGATTTGCACACCCCTCCTACGCGGGAGAGAGAGCCTCTATGCTATACAAATCAAGAAGCCTTAGAAGAGCTATTGTAAAAATAGTGGTGCAAATCCACTTCCCAAACCAATGTGTGGGACAAAAGCTACTCCAAATCTTTTTCTCTTCACGCTTCCAACTCAAATTGGTCTAGTTTGAGAATCAATATCTCATTCACCGATTATCCGTTTTGAGCGTACAATATATCAATCTCTTTGTCTTACTACGTAGAACCCGAATCCACTCTGAACCGACCCAAATCGAAACTGGACCACACAGATACTTTTACCACAAAATAGCCACTTAATATGCCATTTTAATATATTTTTTCCAGCATAATGTTCGGCGGTTTCCTCCGATATAAATATTTCTAGACTTCCACTCTCAAACAAACTTGTAAATTGTTTATCTTACAAAGTAATCATGATCCATAACTCCGCAATATAAGCATTGATAATTTAGTAGGTCAATATGTTATTCGACTATTATCTTTTAAGATATGCATTGCAATTTAAACACTCAATATAAATTATTTTCATTAATAAAATTATTAATTTTGCGACAGTTTAATGTGTCTTTTTGTATTTTAAAAATATTGTATAATTTTCATGTTTATCAACAAATTTAATCAGTCTATTATTAATAAAGCCATCTCTCATTCAATTGTGTAACTTGTAAATTAATTTTCAATAATTGTAGCCTCGATTGTAATACCAATATTAAATATGAACTACTATTTGCCCGTCTAGCTCAGTTGGTAGAGCGCAAGGCTCTTAACCTTGTGGTCCTGGGTTCGAGCCCCAGGGTGGGCGAATGCATAATTACACCACTATTTTGGTGGCATGCCGCTCCTACAAAATAAGGGAATAGATCGCGTGAAGTGTGTGACTAGTGATGGGGTTATAATATTGGGTATCCCTACTTGTCCAATTGTGGGACACTTCGTTGGTAAAACCCAATAATAATCCCCTACAAAATAAGGGAATAGTGATGTGGTTATCCTACAAAATAAGGAAATAGCACCACAAGAAGTGCTTGATTAGTGATGGGGTTATAATAGGGTATCCATACTTGTCCAATTGTCGGATATTTCGTTGGAAAAATCAAATAATAATCCTACAAAATAAGGGAATACCACCACATGAAGTGTGTGATTAGTGATGGGGTTATAATAGGGTATCCCTACACAAGTTCAAACCTTCATTTACTCAGTTTGGGTTTTGATTTGCACACCCCTCCTACGCGAGAGAGAGAGCCTCTATGCTATACAAATTAAGAAGCCTTAGAAGTGCTCTTGTACAAATAGTGGTGCAAATCCACTTCCCAAACCAATGTGGGACAATAGCAACTCCCAAGATTTTTCTCTTCACGTTTCCAACTCAAATTGGTCTACTTTGAGAATCAATATCTCATTCACAGATTATCCGTTTTGAGCGTACAATATATCACTCTTCGTCTCACTACGTAGAACCCGAATCCACTTTGAACCGACCTAAATCGAAACTGGACCACACTGATACTTTTACCACAAAATAGCCACTTAGTATGCCATTTTAATATATTTTTTCCAGCATTATATGTTCGGCGGTTTCCTCCGATTTAAATATTTCTAGACTTCCACTCTCAAACAAACTTAAATACTAAAAACAAACTTGTAAATTGTTTATCTTACTAAGTAATCATGATCCATGACTGCGCAATATAAGCATTGATAATTTAGTAGGTCAATATGTTATTCGACTATTATCTTTTAAGATATGCATTGCAATTTAAACACACAATATAAATTGTTTTCATTAATAAAATTATTAATTTTACGACAGTTTAATGTGTCTTTTTTTTTGTATTTTAAAAATACTGTTTAATTTTAAAACAAATGTCTATCAACAAATTTAATCAGTATATTATTCATAAAGCCATCTCTCATTCAATTGTGTAACTTGTAAATAAATTTTCAATAATTGTAGCCTCGATTGTAATACCAATATTAAATATGAACAACTACTTGCCCGTCTAGCTCAGTTGGTAGAGCACAAGGCTCTTAACCTTGTGGTCCTGGGTTTGAGCCCCAGGGTGGGCAAATGCACAATTATTCCACCATTTTGGTGGCATGCCGCTCCTACAAAATAAGGGAATAGACCATGTAAAGTGTGTCTCTAATGGGGTTATACTAGGGTATCCCTACTTGTCCAATTCTGGGACATTTCGTTGGTAAACCCAATAATAATCCCCTACAAAATAAGGGAATAGCACCACAAGAAGTGTGTGATTAGTGATGTGGTTATCCTACAAAACAAGGGAATAGCACCACAAGAAGTGCTTGATTAGTGATGGGGTTATAATAGGGTATCCATACTTTTCCAATTGTCAGATATTTCGTTGGAAAAATCCAATAATAATCCTACAAAATAAGGGAATACCACCACATGAAGTGTGTGATTAGTTATGGGGTTATAATAGGGTATCCCTACACAAGTTCAAACCTTCATTTACTCAGATTGGGTTTTCATTTGCACACCCATCCTACGCGGGAGAGAGTGCCTCTATGCTATACAAATCAAGAAGCCTTAGAAGAGCTATTGTACAAATAGTGGTGCAAATCACTTCCCAAACCAATGTGGGACTAAAGCTACTCCCAAGCTTTTTCCCTTCACGTTTCCAACTCAAATTGGTCTACATTGAGAATCAATATCTCATTCACCGATTATCCGTTTTGAGCGTACAATATATCAATCTCTTCTTCTCAATACGTAGAACCCGAATCCACTTTGAACCGACCCAAATCGAAACTGGACCACACTGATACTTTTACCACAAAATAGCCACTTAATATGCCATTTTAATATATTTTTTCCAGCATTATATGTTCGGCGGTTTCCTCCGATATAAATATTTCTAGACTTCCACTCTCAAACAAACTTAAATACTAAAAAAAAACTTGTAAATTGTTTATCTTAATAGGTAATCATGATCCATGACTCCGCAATTTAAGCATTGATAATTTAGTAGGTCAAATGTTATTCGACTATTATCTTTTAAGATATGCATTGCAATTTAAACACTCAATATAAATTATTTTCATTAATAAAATTATTAATTTTGCGACAGTTTAATGTGTCTTTTTGTATTTTAAAAATATTGTATAATTTTCATGTTTATCAACAAATTTAATCAGTATATTATTAATAAAGCCATCTCTCATTCAATTGTGTAACTTGTAAATTAATTTTCAATAATTGTAGCCTCGATTGTAATACCAATATTAAATATGAACTACTACTTGCCCGTCTAGCTCAGTTGGTAGAGCGCAAGGCTCTTAACCTTGTGGTCCTGGGTTCGAGCCCCAAGGTGGGCGAATGCATAATTACTCCACCATTTTGGTGGCATGCCGCTCCTACAAAATAAGGGAATAGACCATGTAAAGTGTGTCTCTATTGATGGGGTTATAATAGGGTATCCCTACTTGTCCAATTCTGGGACATTTCGTTGGTAAAGCCCAATAATAATCCCCTACAAAATAAGGGAATAGTGATGTGGTTATCCTACAAAATAAGGAAAACGCACCACAAGAAGTGCTTGATTAGTGATGGGGTTATAATAGGGTATCCATACTTGTCCAATTGTCGGATATTTCGATGGAAAAATCAAATAATAATCCTACAAAATAAGGGAATACCACCTCATGAAGTGTGTGATTAGTGATGGGTCCATACTTGTCCAATTGTCGGATATTTCGTTGGAAAAATCAAATAATAATCCTACAAAATAAGGGAGTACCACCTCATGAAGTGTGTGATTAGTGATGGGGTTATAATAGGGTATCCCTACACAAGTTCAAACCTTCATTTACTCAGTTTGGGTTTTGATTTGCACACCCCTCCTACGCGAGAGAGAGAGCCTCTATGCTGTACCAATTAAGAAGCCTTAGAAGAGCTCTTGTACAAATAGTGGTGCAAATCCACTTCCCAAACCAATGTGGGACAATAGCAACTCCCAAGCTTTTTCTCTTCACGTTTCCAACTCAAATTGGTCTACTTTGAGAATCAATATCTCATTCAGCGATTATCCGTTTTGAGCGTACAATATATCACTCTTCGTCTCACTACGTAGAACCCGAATCCACTTTGAACCGACCCAAATCGAAACTGGACCACACTGATACTTTTACCACAAAATAGCAACTTAATATGCCATTTTAATATATTTTTTCCAGCATTATATGTTCGGCGGTTTCCTCCGATATAAATATTTCTAGACGTCCACTCTCAAACTAACTTAAATACTAAAAACAAACTTGTAAATTGTTTATCTTACTAAGTAATCATGATCCATGACTCCGCAATATAAGCATTGATAATTTAGTAGGTCAATATGTTATTCGACTATTATCTTTTAAGATATGCATTGCAATTTAAACACTCAATATAAATTGTTTTCATTAATAAAATTATTAATTTTACGACAGTTTAATGTGTCTTTTTTTTGTATTTTAAAAATACTGTTTAATTTTAAAACAAATGTTTATCAACAAATTTAATCATTATATTATTCATAAAGCCATCTCTCATTCAATTGTGTAACTTGTAAATAAATTTTCTATAATTGTAGCCTCGATTGTAATACCAATATTAAATATGAACAACTACTTGCGCGTCTAGCTCAGTTGGCAGAGCGCAAGGCTCTTAACCTTGTGGTCCTGGGTTTGAGCCCTAGGGTGGGCAAATGCACAATTATTCCACCATTTTGGTGGCATGCCGCTCCTACAAAATAAGGGAATAGACCATGTAAAGTGTGTCTCTATTGATGGGGTTATAATAGGGTATCCCTACTTGTCCAATTCTGGGACATTTCGTTGGTAAAACCCAATAATAATCCCCTACAAAATAAGGGAATAGCACCACAAGAAGTGTGTGATTAGTGATGTGGTTATCCTACAAAACAAGGGAATAGCACCACAAGAAGTGCTTGATTAGTGATGGGGTTATAATAGGGTATCCATACTTTTCCAATTGTCAGATATTTCGTTTGAAAAATCCAATAATAATCCTACAAAATTAGGGAATACCCCCACATGAAGTGTGTGATTAGTTATGGGGTTATAATAGGGTATCCCTACACAAGTTCAAACCTTCATTTACTCAGATTGGGTTTTGATTTGCACACCCTCCTACGCGGGAGAGAGAGCCTCTATGCTATACAAATCAAGAAGCCTTAGAAGAGCTATTGTACAAATAGTGGTGCAAATCCACTTCCCAAACCAATGTGGGACTAAAGCTACTCCCAAGCTTTTTCCCTTCACGTTTCCAACTCAAATTGGTCTACATTGAGAATCAATATCTCATTCACCGATTATCCGTTTTGAGCGTACAATATATCAATCTCTTCGTCTCACTACGTAGAACCCGAATCCACTTTGAACCGACCCAAATCGAAACTGGACCACACTAATACTTTTACCACAAAATAGCCACTTAATATGCCATTTTAATATATTTTTTCCAGCATTATATGTTCGGCGGTTTCTTCCGATATAAATATTTCTAGACTTCCACTCTCTAACAAACTTAAATACTAAAAGCAAACTTGTAAATTGTTTATCTTAATAGGTAATCATGATCCATGACTCCGCAATTTAAGCATTGATAATTTAGTAGGTCAAATGTTATTCGACTATTATCTTTTAAGATATGCATTGCTATTTAAACACTCAATATAAATTGTTTTCATTAATAAAATTATTAATTTTGCGATAGTTTAATGTGTCTTTTTGTATTTTAAAAATATTGTATAATTTTCATGTTTATCAACAAATTTAATCAGTATATTATTAATAAAGCCATCTCTCATTCAATTGTGTAACTTGTAAATTAATTTTCAATAATTGTAGCCTCGATTGTAATACCAATATTAAATATGAACTACTACTTGCCCGTCTAGCTCAGTTGGTAGAGCGCAAGGCTCTTAACCTTGTGGTCCTGGGTTCGAGCCCCAAGGTGGGCGAATGCATAATTACTCCACCATTTTGGTGGCATGCCGCTCCTACAAAATAAGGGAATAGACCATGTAAAGTGTGTCTCTATTGATGGGGTTATAATAGGGTATCCCTACTTGTCCAATTCTGGGACATTTCGTTGGTAAAACCCAATAATAATCCCCTAAAAAATAAGGGAATAGTGATGTGGTTATCCTACAAAATAAGGAAATAGCACCACAAGATGTGCTTGATTAGTGATGGGGTTATAATAGGGTATCCATACTTGTCCAATTGTCGGATATTTCGTTGGAAAAATCAAATAATAATCCTACAATATAAGGGAATACCACCACATGAAGTGTGTGATTAGTGATGGGGTTATAATAGGGTATCCCTACACAAGTTCAAACCTTCATTTACTCAGATTGGGTTTTGATTTGCACACCCCTCCTACGCGAGAGAGAGAGCCTCTATGCTATACAAATTAAGAAGCCTTAGAAGAGCTCTTGTACAAATAGTGGTGCAAATCCACTTCCCAAACCAATGTGGGACAATAGCAACTCCCAAGCTTTTTCTCTTCACGTTTCCAACTCAAATTGGTCTACTTTGAGAATCAATATCTCATTCACCGATTATCCGTTTTGAGCGTACAATATATCACTCTTCGTCTCACTACGTAGAACCCGAATCCACTTTGAACCGACCCAAATCGAAACTGGACCACACTGATACTTTTACCACAAAATAGCAACTTAATATGCCATTTTAATATATTTTTTCCGGCATTATATGTTCGGCGGTTTCCTCCGATATAAATATTTCTAGACTTCCACTCTCAAACAAACTTAAATACAAAAAACAAACTTGTAAATTGTTTATCTTACTAAGTAATCATGATCCATGACTCCGCAATATAAGCATTGATAATTTAGTAGGTCAATATGTTATTCGACTATTATCTTTTAAGATATGCATTGCAATTTAAACACTCAATATAAATTGTTTTCATTAATAAAATTATTAATTTTACGACAGTTTAATGTGTCTTTTTTTTGTATTTTAAAAATACTGTTTAATTTTAAAACAAATGTTTATCAACAAATTTA